CATTAACTTCCCAACTAGAATACTCTATAGAATCCCGTATTCGTAAGCACGGCTTACGGTAGTATGACTCACGATAGTTGTTATTCAATAAGTATATTTTATTCGGCAAAAACACCACCATCAATCGTGATGACGAAATGTTTTATAGGCACTTTATATTTAAAATATTAAAATTTAAAACGTGGAATCCTTACTAACGTTACAAATGTTAAAGTTGTTTGTTTATTTTGTTGCTTGTTGACGCTATAATGGCTAAACTAGTTCGTGATGAAAATTTATATAAAAGCAGCATTTGGAATAGAGAAAGACATAGGCTTACTATTTATCCGTGCCAATTAATGACTCATTCATGCGGAATAATAGAAAAAGCTGGCTAGTCATCCACAAGTAAATTTATCTTTGAAATAATTTCATAAAAAAGGCAACATCAATCGTCACAAGTGGTAGTTTCATAAACGAATAAACATTTTCATTTTAAAAACAATTATCCCAATCGATTCAAAATCACCAACAATTCTCTAATTGTTTGTACAAAAGTATAAATGAATTGAGTACCTACCTTCTCCGTTTGGAAGTCACATGCCTATAAAGGTAACTAGCTTTTACCCGAGACATCGTCTGCGTGACCGGGATATGTTGATCGACCAGAATAAATAATAACCTATGTCCTTCACCATCCTGTATAGTACGTGTATATCAAATTTTATTGTTATTGGTTTAAACGTTAAAATGATCAAACTTACTTTCACAGTTATAATATTAGGCAATATTCAATTTTGTTATTTCCCTACGTTCAATTTACAGTTAATAATTGTCCGAATACATCATTCAATTTTGAATAATATGGATACAAATAGTACTTTATTACAGTCAAGTCAAACAATTTTGAGATTTATACCTCAGCTATAAGATCTTTTATAAATCAATATTTAATTAATGGAGATCAAGTTTACGAGTGCCCTGGTTTGGTCATAATCCATGCACTTCCTGCAAAACCTCTCATTATAAACCTTAAAGAACCCAATGCGGAATTATAATGTATGCTGCATACATGGTAATTATGTACTTACATACATGGTATTTACGTCTTTCGTATGTAATAGAAATTTGTATGACTTGAATGAGTTTAGTCTTTTTCAATCGACTTAAAAAACAGGAGGTTCATAAGTTTGTTTTTTTTGTTACCTCATAACTCTGTCAGTTATAAACCGATTTGGAAAACTATTTTTTATTCGAAAGGATATTACCTACAGATTGTTTCCATAGAAATCTTATCAAAATAGGTTCAATAGTTTAGTTTTCAAACCAAAACCATTAATTGGTTTTATAAACATTGATGTCTTTTTTTTGCTCGCATATTGTTATGTCTATATCTTTTCGTAACATGTATCTGTAGCCTAAATAAAAGCCTTGATGAATTTAAATGAGTCATTTGTAGTGGTATAAACTATATGAGGACACTAAAAAAAATATAGTGGTCATAAATTATCAAATTTAACAGTAGGGCATTTTGTAACTGTCACGTCTATATGTTATTTAAATGGATTTGTACTTCATCAAAAAATTAAACGATATTTTCTATGTTGTTTTATTTTTTAGTGGAGTACCTACTGTGAGTAGGCAATATAAATCTTTCAATAACCTGCGAAACGTAAAAAACGTAGTAAAACTTATATCTAAAATTTTTCGCTTGAATAGTCAAGTGGAATGGATTATTTACGCAATAAACTATTATTATATAGAATGGTTCCCTATAATACAAAGTAAACAGCCAACAAAAAAGAATTAGGTACGGTGTCTGATGGTTTTAAAAGTGGACGTTTTCAAACTGGTCGCGTTAACAAACAGACTTGTTTGAGCAAAAAATGAACGGGGATATTGCCGATTTTATATTCGGTCAATGAACTGTCATTTTTATTCAGCGTCCCATAGTCTAGCCGAGTTGTTAGAGATTGAGGTTATATATTTTACTTTAAATAAAATATACACATCAGACTTTTTTATAGACGAAAACAACACCGTCTGACATTTGTTTAATACTAATCAACTTGGAAATCGTGCGGATATAATATATCAAGATCAATTTATGGATTAAAACTAGTGATGTGCCGGATCTTTATAAATTTACATTCGCGGAATCGAATACAAAACGGATCATTATAGTCTGACCTAAAATACGAATCTCTAAATGTTTATTTTTTTTTTAATTATTTGTAATATTTGACATCCTCCCAAATACGTCATTTAAAAAAATTTAAAAAAATTTAAAATTATTTAGAATTTCATTTATTCTAATTCATGTTATAATTTAAGAGACTGGTTCCGCCAAAAAGTAACGTATAGGGATATACGATATATATCTCGTATTCCACATAAACAAATATGAAGATCTGGCACAGCACTAATTAAAACTAAAAATATCATTAAGTAATACCTATGTAGGTAAAATCGATATATCACGTTTGTGGATACGCAGCACTTGCGTAAGTAAAAGCAAATGACTTTATAATAACTAATATTGATTGATTGATGTAGGCAATCACATAGTAAGTAAGCACTTGTGGATCACAATAATCTGTTTTTGAGTAATGTAAACGTAATTAATAAATTGTGTGATAATATTTTATAATCTGTTTATTTATACTTGGCATATTTTGTACACATCTATCTATTTTTATAACAAAAAATCAATAAAATACAAAATAGCATAAGACCTTCTTGTTGTGATTATTTATTTTATGGGTATATTTTCGTAAATATATACCAAAACAGTTTAGGCTAGACGAAATAAAACAAATTTTAGAGGTGCATTAGTCAGTTGGTCAAGCAATAGATCTGTTCCTAACACATTACGTGATACGACCATTACTGATCCAAAGGAAAACCTTGATAAAGAGTTATTACATATTATTGATTGTTAACAAGAGACAATAAGGAGTTAATTTATGAACAATAGATGAGCCTTATTTATTAATTCTATTCATAATTAATTATGACGTGAATTAATAAACATTTTCTTATGAGTGACATCATTATTTATGCATTGATATAGTCATCACATCGAGATATAAACATTCAATCTACTGATAAGTTTATTTATTTATTTGAAATAGCGCCTATTTATTTAACAGTACCTATACATAAATTAAATCAATGTTTTTGTATGCATACTTGTAGCAAGCGTACACAACATTGACTATAGATTATAAATTATAGCAATAATAAGCTATAGATTGTATATATTTGGCAACGCATGAAGGGTATCATAGGCGACACAGTAACTCTGTTATATCCATGGTACTGTTCATGTCTATAGGCGACGGTTACTACTTTCAATCAGGGGGACCGTCAGCTTGTTTGGTATTCGAAGTTGTATAAAAAAGTGTTTTGTATATTTATTATAATATTATTATAATATTTATTCTTAGGTTTTCATTTTGTCCTAAATATTTTAATAATGATACGCATAATGGTCAAACAGCGCCATTGCTATCAATATTAGGTCGACCTCCACGCGGCTCCCTCTGGAAACCATCATGGTTAATATTTGTGGAATCACTAAATCAATTTTATCAAGTCAAATCAAGCAGGTTAAATCAAGATTAACCCGCTTTTTTCCTCACCTATCATCTCTCACTAATGCCTCGCCAGCATATATCGATGGCATAGGCGTGGTTACCATTTCATTATCATCCATTTATCACTTTCTATACCCAGTTTTTGTCACAAATAAGCGACATTTTCGTATTTAGACCACGATTAAATTTCGTCTCGGATTTCCTACAAGAAATTGACGTCGAAAAAGTTGAGACGATCAACAAAAACCAAGTTTACAGTTACAGATGATATAGAGAGGTACTTATTAAAAACTTGGAATTGATTTAGCACAGATGGGGTTTCTTTTTAATAATGGGTGAGAAATGAATGGTAACGCCGCCTGCGCTATCGGTACATGCTGGCGGGGCACCAGTGAAAGATAGGTGTGGCTGGAAATAGATCAGTTAGGCCATCGTGAGGAATTTAAGAAAAATTTACCGCGATGATTTTCATAGAAAACTCGTGGAAGTCGACCTGATAGAGTATTTTGCTAGCAATAAGACTGTTGAACCTCCATTACTCCATTATTCGTATTAACAATCCCTTCTGCGCCCGCCAGTGGGTACTTTCTGTAAATACCTGTAAGTACTTTCCCAAAGTACAAAACATTGCAGGTACAAAACATAGGAGGCATCTCATTAACCAGCCTATTGTGATGAATTCCATAGAAATTAACCACGGTAGTTTCCAGAGGGAACCGATTGGAAGTCAAACCGAGGAGGTTTTGTTATGGGTGAAGATGGAATAAGTAACCAGTGAATAATGTTCGGTAAAGATAAAATCAGGTCACTTGGCCCATCGTGACGAATTCGTCGTGAATTAATCATGATAGTTTCCAGAAGGGACCGCGTGGACGATGACCTGATAGATTATTACTAGTAATGGGGCGAGCCACTATATAAATCCCATTACTAACAATCTCTTGCCCCTAACCGAGAAGGTAAGAAGGTGCATTGCTACAATGGGACCACTAGAACCCATTACTAAAAACCCTCACCCCAACCATCGTGGTTAATTTGTGGTGAAATCGTCACGAAGGGCCGACTGATCTGACAGTATCCTCAACTATATCGCTTGGTGGGGGTACAACTACCACCAGGCAATTTATTCCTACCTACTGATAGTGTAATCCATTTTCAACTTAACAAAAAAGACCTGCTAATAATAGGATTGCTACTCCTCATATTACCAATCCCTTCCCCCTAATGTATCTATTAAAAAGTAGGTACCATTTGAGGTAGTAGACTCAAATATACGTTTAATTAATCGCTATTCTGTAGGTAGATAAATAGATACCTCGATAAATACCTAAATGACTAAGAGGTCAACAAAGAATTGAATTACGTTTATAGGTACTTATGTTGATATTTATAAATGAAAAAATGATGAAAGCTAATACTTACATCAAATAATAGACTAGCCGTTCACCTGCCCACCGTATCGGAGGCTGCGTCGGCGTCCCTCAAGGAATGCGACACCTGTGACCACAAGCACACACTACAAGTTTAACCTATTCACAAACAAACTAAATGTTCTAAAATCAAATATTCCCGTTCTCTCACTTCACAACAAATCCAGAAACTGTAGATGAATAAAATTTCAAAAGTTTCGTTAAAAAGTTTCGCAGCTCGCGGGCAATTTACTACAAACACGCAAAATACTACCAACCACAAACAACAAAATCGGACAACTGGCGAACGAAACGAAACGAACATAGCGAGGAGTAGAGGGGTGCACACGAGAGCCAATCGGACGCGACGGCAGCGCCGCCACACCTGTCGACGCGAGGGCGTATAAACTCTGCAAATACAAAACTTGCAACACTGCAGTGTGCCCTGCTAAAGCTTGAACTAGCATTCTCATATTATGCAATTCAATACGGTAAAGTTTATACCTAACCGCGAGAGCAGGAAGAAAATGTCGACGAGTTTTACACAAAGCGACTAATTGAAATTCTTTGTTAAGGTATGAATACGTTTTTGCATTATGCCAATGAGTAATAATACGAGCATGACAAAATTGATAAATTGAAGAATTTTATTACAACTTATTAAGTATAGGTATATATACATATATGATAGTAAATAAAACATTTTTGAGTTATCTGTATAAAATTACTGTGTAAAAATACTATGTGAAAGTTACTATGAGATATACCAAAGATAATTACCAACACAAGGATTAAAATCTATCCATTGCAAAAAAATCGGCCAAATCCATTCAGAATTAACAAAAATATTTAACATAAAAAAATTAAAAACCTCCTCCTTTTATAAATTGCTTAAAATTTATTATTCTTTTAATGTTAATACTTAGTACTCGCCTAGTTTATAATAAATTACCTAGTATTGTAAGATATTTAATGACTACCGCGGTGCCGTGAGAGGTGCATTGTATTGCACATATTAGGTCTCGTGTTCGATTTTCGGCTGGACCAATTTATAAACAAACTTTTCTAAATCGGTTTGAATGTTTTGAATGTTGTTCTCAATGCTCATTGCCTTTTTTTATTTATATTGGGTACAATAGTTTGAAAAACCAGGCTATGCATTCTCATTTTTAAAATATGAATAAATAATTATGAGCCTTTTACAATTCTATCTAAAATTTATTTCCTTTTTAAAAAGTCAGCAGCACGTCTGCAATGCCTCTAGTGGTGCGGATGCTCATGGACAACGGTAGTCACCTACCATTAGGTGAACCACATGCTCGTTTGCCCCCTGTGTTATAAAGACTTTGTACAAAAGTCGATTGCTTGGGTACCTCTGTCCCATTCGTGTTTCTACCGTGAAGCAGTTGTGTTTGCATGACTGTGTTTCGGTTTGAAGGGTAGGATATGGCGTGAATTTACTGGGTACAGAGGAATAACACCTGAGTGCTCAGGAATGGCAACGCATGGGGGTATCATGGGCGAAACAGTATACTCTGTTATGTCCATGGTACTGCTCATGTCTATAGACGACGGTTATCACTTTTTCATAAGGTGGGCCGTCAGCTTGTTTGCCATTCTAAGTCGTGTAAAAAAAAATAGTTAAAATTAATTAACCTTAAGATATCTTTATTTTTATGTCTTAATATAAGATAGATAGATGAATCATTACAGTGAGTAAGCTTCCTCTGGATTTACTTACATTGCTAAAAGAAAGGGTTCTGTGCCATTTACGTGACCGATTACTTGATCTTCACCGTCAACCATTGGCTAGCTCATAGCCACTTAAGCTTGCTAATCATTATTATAATATTTTTGTTTCTACAGAATAACTTATGCTATTGATGATATTTATCATAAATTTAGTCTTTTGCGGAATAGGCAAAGATAACGGAGAGGAGATATAATAATATGTATTTGTTTGAAATGTAAGGTAAAAGATAGATGAGTTTATCACAGCCTCGTGTGTCATTATGATGTAAAAAGTATATACGCCTATACTTCGCAGTCGGTAGATGATGATTCTTTATTTATTGAGCATCGAGATTAAGGTATGGTTTGTTTCTTTTTTTCTTTGTTTTGTATTAGTTGTTAAGTGTCCAGTGCTGAATATAGCCTCCCCTATAAGGAGGGTTTTGTCAGTAACTGCTACGCAGGCGGGTTGGCAACTGCAGTTTGACTTTTGGTGATGTTTTCAGTGGGACGCTGCTGCCCATCCCTCGATTATAAGCTCCCTGAGTCGCCTCCTATGACGCCCATGAGAAAGGAAAGGGTGACCTTTCAATTACAATCTATGCCAAGACCGACGTAAAATATTTCTTTTTTTTTACTTTTCCTAAATTCATTATTATTCATATTCATTTCTACACTCCACCAAAGTAAAGAAGTAAAAATATGGATAGAAAAAATAATATCTAAAAATTATAAATATCCGATATGTATTAAATCCAATTCAGTAATACGTTAATTTTATTAACCGACTTAGATTTTTTTATCTGAAATAAATCTGTGCAGTAGTTTAGTTTTTAAATCAAAATAAATGGTTATGTCACAAATCAATAAATCTTTAATTATGTTTTAATACTTAGTTTCGAACACGAGATTTGTTACTAGAAAAGCTCATCTCACATGATTATAAAACGAATCCATAACAAGTTTTTCACAGGCAGAAACATACCTATTTGGTACCTCATCTTATGTAAAAACTACTAAATCTATTACTTAATTTAATATAGAAAAGCCATTTATTTATTGATAGTATTAGGTAAAATTAATTGTATCTTAAGCTTTTAATTTTTACTATCTTTTGTGTAGATAATATAAATAATTCATATACTTGTTCATTCAAATCTTTTTTAATAGGTGGATATAGGAGAATAGGAGGCAAACGAGCATGCGGCTCACCTGACGGTAAATGACTACCACCGCCCATGATCACCGGCAACACCAGAAGCATTGCAAGCGTGCTGCTGGCCATTTAAAAAGGAATATGCTCTTTTCTTGAAGGTTATGATGTCATATCGGTTCGTAAATACTACTGCTGGAAGTTGATTCTAAAGAGTGGTTGTGCATGGAAGAAAATGTCTTGAAAAACGCACGGTGGAGAACGGCCACACACATCCAGATGGATGATTGATCGATAATTCGAGCCGCCCTTTTTTAATTTAGTCCAATGGAAGGGGCTGGTACTGTGGCGTTCCTACCCATAGGTGAGAAAAATATTCCATATGTGGCCGAACTTGAGTTTTATATTTAATTTCCATATTATACAATTGATAGCGGTGCTCCGACGTGATTACCGCCTTACTCTATTGAGTACTTCTAACTTTTTAGAGGTTATCTTAGCGTTTTCCTTCGACCAATATTTATCAGCGAAACCTAACCGAAAACACACAACTTAAGGGCATTAGCTTACTGGACCTTGTCCATATGTTGGACTCCGAAGAGTGCGACGAGGCGGAGTTTAAATCCCCCGCGATTCAAGAGAGAATATGGCAAAGCACATATTGAGGCTCGAAGTATGTTGCCAAACCAATTAGGAGAGGCTTTCGAGCAAATACTGTCTTATACAATTGAAAACGAAAGGCTTTGAAGAAGAATAAGAGTGTCAAAAAAGAAGATAAAGCTATCATTAGAGAAAATCATAGAAATTAATCAATATTACAAATACAGAATAATACACAGGCATGCACAGAAGAAATCATACACAATCTTTCTCAAAGCAAAGAAAATACCCTCCTTACTATCCAAGAAATTATTAGGAAGGTAATACAGAAATTTATGGAGAAAATCACAGCCTGCAATAAAGTACCATACTGTGGATCAGTATGGTACTTTATTGCTTTATTACTCATAGAAGGTAACGTAGCAGTAGCTAAAAAACAAGTTTACAAGGGAATAAGAATAAACTCTTCAAACCGGTCATTATCTTTTCAGACAAAGAACCGAACACAACTTTAAAAATAGCAGATATATCGGCAAAATGTATCCTTTAGACATCTTAATTTTGCACCGGCGAGTTTTAAAACAATATCTAGTAATACTTAGAATTGAATTTGACAACTTAAAACAGAGAGATGAAGCCTTTTCGTCTACATAAGCGCAAAACTGGACATCGGTAGATATATTAACGCCAGGGTTATGACAGAATGAGACACACGCAATAAGTAACAGAACTGAAAAATAAGAACCGGAGCAAACTCTGGTGCGCACGTCCTTAGCACAATTGTAGAAATAGCATCGGGCCCACTCGACTTTTGGATTTCAAGGGGAAAGAATGTTCTACGCACTAAGCTTTATGTGTATTTAATATCAAGCATAAAGCTTACAACGCGGGATGGTCGGCGCTTTTTTGTACTAAACCTTTCCGATAACATCATCTTCAATGCATTTTTTTTTTATTATGGCATTGCAGGCATATATCATCTATGGCAACCGCTTATCGTCAGGTAAGAAGTAAGCTTGTTTGTCACCTTAGTAATATAAAATAAATATCTAAACTTTTTTAAATACGCGTAAGAACTCAAAATCAGAATTCGCTGGAGATAATTAATTACTAGATTTTGTGTGCAATAGCACATAAAAATGAATACAAATAGTAGACCCAGTAGCAGCATCTATTTAAATCCTTATTGGTGAAGTTTCCAACTGATATGATGAAGACGTTTTCTGCTTTACAATATTGAATATTACTCAAGTCATAATTTGCACACTTTCATTGATCGTATTTAAATTAAGATACTCTCCAGTTATTTTTTACTAACTCATAATTTTATTCATTGTTTCGCTTAATCAAAAGGAATAAAAAAAAACATTGATTCAAATTATTTAATTATTGTTATGAAGTGCCTTTATGATTAAAATATTTATTGTGTTCCGTATGGTATTGCTTTACTTGGTAATAAGAGGAAAACTTAAAACATAACAGTTTAGAAAATATTGCATTTCTACGTAATTAACAATGTGTATGGCACATGCTATTATACAAAATATACAGGATTATAGGCTAAGTAATTAATCTAATATCACTTTATTTAATGATATAACTGCTGATACAGCTGCATTATCGTGACAAGGATCAGCATCGAAAATGGTCTTGAAATACCTGCAAACAAAAAAAAAAGTAATTCTTAATAATAATTTTTAACACCCTAAATTTTAAATGGAAAAGTAATGCAAACACAATAAATATTACATAACTATCTTTTATTATTATTAATAGAATGTAGATATATTATAAAGGCGAAGTTAAATAAAATAAAGCTAAAATAGTCTACAAAAAAATCTTAAATCTGAACTAAAATACATATGTCTGCAAAATAGACAGCAACTAATTTAAAAAAATATTATAACATATCTAAATAGATATGTTATAATATTTAAAATGAAATATAAATATATTTCATTTTAGTATTTTAATCTATCAGGTACTTTTGCTTGATTACTTAGTTTTAAAGATCTATCGTTCTTGGTACTACCAAAAACGTGAAGATTTAAGAAGTTTTAAGGCTTCGAATATATATTCTGAAATAGTCATACGAGCACAAAGTACTTACACACTGCGTACGAAGCTTCTTCCTGCATGGGAGCTTGGTATTCATCTGTTACTTCTAAAAATTGGTAGATAGCTTTGAAACCAGTACCATCTAAGCGATCATTGGATCTGAACGTTACTTTGAAGAAATTTCTTTCCGACTCGACATGAAATTCCTTCATTTGACCACAATATCTACCGTATCTATTGTCCTCAGTCATATAATTTGAAAATTCGACATAGTCACTAGCTGACACGGCTTCACATCTGAAACAGAGCATATTTTTTATAATTTAATGTTTACGAAATATTTATATCCTTAATATCATAATTGAATCCAAATAAGAGTTATGGGATCATGGATTAATTATTTCAACTGTAGCTTAAAGTACTAGGTATAATAACGACTTAAAATCTTTCAGTAATTTAAACTTTTTGTCCATTTACACTTTACTCATCTCTGATAATCAGCAGTAGCGTGTCCGCAGTTGAGTTTAATCGACAGATAATAAAGTAAATTTATGAAAAACAGGTCTTACGTTCACCATAATACTAAAAATATAAAACAAAATCTTCTAACCACCTCATCTTGAACTATATGGTTTACTCATAAAATTCAAGATATAGGTATAGGTATACATTTATTTTTAATATTAAAGAGTAAATTAACGAATATAATATTAAATGAGTTCATTGTAACGTATATTTCCTAATAGGACATACCTGGGGGAAAGGGATTGTTATTAATGGGGTTTGCTTGCCCTTTTGCTAGCAATGTATCCTATCAAGTCGATCTCCACGCAGTTCCCCCGGCAACTATCGTGACAAATTTATCGTTGAATTCGTCATAATGAGCTAACTGATCTGCTTTTTTATCCTCACCTATCACCTGTCAATAGTACCCCGTCAGTATATACCAATAGCACAGTCGGGATTACTATGCAATTTTCACCTATTAAAAAAAATAGAACATACTAACCTAATGGCTATGATAATTTGGCCTTAGATAAAAAAAAAAAACTTTTTTATGGTCCTAATTGATTAACAATAGTGTATTTTTTTTTTAAATAAAGTAAAATACGAGTAAATATCAACAAATAGGATGTTAAAATATTATTTAAAATATTTTGTGAAAATTATGTGAAATTGAAGATAACTTACGGTAAAACTCCTTCGACATCGAAGTTTGTGAAGTGAAGATGAACCTTTTCTGTTTCCCCGCCGTGGAAGAAATATGTACATTCAGTATCACGGGGATATGGTCCCGGGGAATTAGGGGACGCGAAGGTACCATTTCGAGATTCACTACTATTATAAACGAAGGCGCAAGGAAACTCTTTCAGTTGCCTCCCTGTATTAATTCCAAAATCTGAAATCGAAATTAATAAACAACTGTTATACATTAGCATCTAGAAATGTTTTGTGAAAATGCTATACATATGCCATATATGTGGTGAGAGGATTAGCCAGCCCTTTGTGGAAACTCTGCATCTGTTACTTTACATTATTAAATTTCACGACCTTGTAATAATTTGTACATACATACGAGTTTATTAAATATTTTATTAAATGTAATGTATTATTTTTTACGCTCAGAAATTATTATTTTTTATAATAAGTATTATATAGGTATTTTAAATAAAGATAACTAATCCTGCAGGTTCAATAAAAGAAAAAAGCAACTTACTTTCTACAAACGAATATGATATTTTAAATCCTCTTGCATATCTAGAGGACTGTGTCCCTCGGAATTCCAACATTAGTTTCGGTCCATTCGACATAATTGGTTTGGGTAGGTTTATTCCACAGAATGTCTCGACCTTCTCTAATCTTCCGTCTACATTTACAAATGCTTGTAAGGAATCTACACTGGTACAACTGAAATAAGAAGAAAAAAATATTTATTTATTTCAAATAACATCTTTGTACTTATCAAGGAAATTATTAATCTACTCTTTAAATTTAATTAAAAAACAAATTCCTAAGTAACCATTACTGAACTTTTATAAATTCATCTATTTAAAATACGTAATAAAAATGATCCAAATTTTTAATTTAAACGACATACCTTAGATTATACAAAATACATAAAATAAATATTGACAATTTCTTATGGTTGCATTCTAATCTAAACACCTAACAGGAATAAATTATCAACAATATGATGTCACAACTATAATATGTTTGTAATGTAATTCACCAATTTTAATTATTATCGATAATAGACGTAAAAATAATCATTAACGTTCCTAATAAAAGAGAAATTATTTGATATTGATATACATATATATGTACAGCGCCATCTAGTTATAAAACTAAGTAGAACTTGAATTATGATTGCAAAATAACTAACAGACATGATTTTTTTATATATTACGCGTAGAAAACATCCAGACCATTATAAACAGATATAATATTTGTATCTACTATGCAGAATTCGAACCTACAAACATTGAGGTGAAGTGAAGTATGCAACGACTTCACTAATAGGTCATTAATAATAATATAATGTCGTATAGCGGATACATTAAACAATTAGCGGACAAATTAAAACGAGATTTTTAGTATTTTTAAGTTTTAATAAAATAAATAGAAAATACTTACTCAACGGCACCGTCTGCAGATTTGTACAAAAAGAAGTCTTGAAATATTAATCTAACTCTCTCCTTTCCTCTTCCAAAGAATTCGTAATGGCAGTGCGTGTTTGGTGGATAAGGTGATGGGTAATGAGGGGATGTAAGTGTTCCATGCTTCGATCCATCACTGCTAAATTCTTGATGACAGGATGAAGCTGGAATAGAGAGTAAAAGTATTGTAAGTAAAAATATTTAAACGTTTAATTAGTAGAAGTAGACCTGACTTTATAGGATTACAGATTTTAAATTGAAGATGGTTTAATCAGTCTCAGAGAGTTATTTAGTTCGAATAATATATAAAGTCGGGAGGAAAAGGGTTTGTTAGTAATGAGGTTTAACAACGCTATTGTTATTGTTAGCAATATACCCTATTAGATTACATCCACATGGTTCTCTCTGCAAACTATCGTCATCAATTCTTGAATTTATTACAAGGGCTTTCTTTCTTATCTATCATCTCATACTAGTACTTCGTCAACGTATACCGATAACGCAGGCAAGGTTACCATTCCATTGTAATACATTAAAAAATATATATTTTTAATTAATTTAGAATAGAAAACAAACCGAAGGCTCACCTGATGAAAAGTGGTAACTGTCACCTACAGACAGTACCATAGGTATAATAAAGTATACTGATACTATGTTCTATTGCCATATAAAACTAAATATTTTTTGTTTTAGAGTTTAAGGTGTATAATTGAAATGTGCGATTGTTTGTAAAGAACTTTGAATGTTGAAAGATTACTTGACATCATAAAAAAACATTACACAGATAGACAGTAATATTATATAGGTAGATGATACGAAGAAAATATTTTTTAATGGATGGAAGTAGCTCCGCCTCTGCTGTCAGTATCTGCTGGCGGTGTACCAGTAAGTGATGAGAATAATAGTTACCCTATCGTAATGAATTCTCAGGAATTAATCACGATGGTTCTCAGGAGGAATCGGGGTCAATCTAACAGAATTTATCGTTAGAAATAAAACCACTAACGAAATAATATTAGGTACAATATAAATAATTTGAAATATTAATTGTTCAAATTAGGATAATTGTAACTACTTTGATGAATTTATGTAAGTGCCTACAGTGAATTTGATAATTTATTACTACTGTTGCTAAAACTTTATCAGCAAATACTTATTTAAATATATTACCTATAGCTAACTAAATTATATAAACAACCCGAACGTACACGCATGCGTATTGAATTAAAACTTTTCCGATGTAAAACGCATGCGTCGTCCGTGACGGTCAACCATGCGGTCGATAGAGTACAAAATTTTTGACGCTAGTATTTTTGGTGTTGGTAATTGTGACATACACGCTGAAACCATATTTTCTGTATTTATCATATCTCTACAAATGTCAAATCAAGATGTCAAATGTCACGTTGACAAACATTATTCCTTCAATTTCAGTCTTATTGACGTTTGTAAAATTGTGATGTAGTATTTCAATTGTTTTGTTTTTCGTGTGTAAATAATTAGCTTGTAACTATAATAGACTGAAACTATTCTCGTGGTATATTAACTTGTTTGTAATGTTCTTATATATCGCAGAGTAAAGAAATAAGCAATGACGGATTTTACACCATTCTATGTTGACCGAGCTAAAGGAGGACGAGCATCATGTAAAATATGCAAAGGAAATTGTCAAAGCGGAGAACTGCGTATGGCCAAGATAATTGCGAGTCCATACGGTGAAAATCAACAAATGAAATCATGGCACCACGTCGATTGCTTTATGACGGCGCTGTTAAAACAACGTCCAACCACCAAACGTATAGACTCCATCGACGACATTGGGAACTGGGACAGTTTGACCAAAGAAGACCAACAGTTTTTAATAAAAAAAATAAATGAAATGGAAAAACTTTATGCAGAGAAAAACAGTGGCAAATATACAGCTAAAGTGATAAATAATGAGTCAAAAGTACCTCAAAGTAGTCCAGATACAACTGATATGACTAGTACAAAAACATTACAAGTAAAGGATATTAAAAATGATGATAATATGTTCATAGCATTCTTTAATTTGTGTAAGAAAATATCTAGAGTAGATGCATACACAGAGAAAACTGCAGTTGTTAATAACTTTTTTCGCAAAGGCACAGACAATAATTCATTTAAGGGTGATTTATTGCTGTGGTGTAAATTATTATTACCACAGGTTACTAAAAGAGTTTATAATTTAAAAAGTAAACAGATAATCAAATTATTCTCTAGAATTTTTAGTACAGATCACTATGACATGCTTACAGATCTTGAACAAGGCGATGTAGCACAGACTATTCAAATTTTTTTATGAATGCTAAGTCCGTTCAACCTGCCAATGAGAGTACATTAACAGTACACGACGTTGAGAATTTCCTTGAAGATCTATCCAAATTGACAAAAGAGGAAGAACAAATATATCATTTTAAAAAAATTGTTAAAAAGTGTACTAAAGATGATATACTCATGTTGATTCGACTTATTAAAGGGGACTTGCGTATAAATGCAGGCCCTAAACATATACTAGAAGGTGTACATCCAGATGCTTACAGTGCTTTTCAGACATCTAGGGATCTAGATATGGTCTTAGACAGAGTTCTATCAAACGGTACTGGTGTAAAACACAAAGACTCATCTCATGATAATGTGCAGGCAAAAATAGTTCTTATGACTCCTGTTCTTCCGATGTTAGCTGAGGCATGTAAATCTGTTGAAATGGCAATGAAAAAATGTCCAAACGGAATGTTTTCTGAAATTAAATATGATGGGGAAAGAGTTCAAGTCCATAAAAAAGGGAATGAGTTTAAATATTTCTCAAGAGCTTTAAAACCTGTTATGCCACATAAAGTTAGTCACTTTAAGGATTATTTGCCTCAGGCATTCCCTAAAGGTGAGGATCTAATATTAGATGCTGAGGTTTTAATGGTTGATACAAATACAGGCAAACCTTTACCATTTGGTACACTAGGTATTCATAAGCAGTCAAAATTTAAAGATGCACAGGTGTGTTTGTTTGTGTTTGACTGCTTGTACTACAATGATAAGGTCCTTATAGATTTGCCTATACGAAAAAGAAGACAGTTCTTACTTGATAATATGGTTGAAGTCAAAAACCATGTTATGTTTTCTGAACAGCAGCATATTGAGAAACCAGCTGATTTAGCAAAAATGATTGCAGAGGTAATATCAATAATTTATATTTATTTGTTATTACTAATATTATAAATGTGAAAGTAAATTTGTTTGTTTGTTATCTTTTAACACAAAAATGCACAACAATTACTATGAAATTTAAAATATATATATGTACTATAAGGGATGGAAAATTATATGGACTATTTTTTATCTCAGTCTGAATGTTTATATAGTAAATATATAAATAAAATAAATATAAATGTCTTTATTAAATTTTCTTCAATTAACTTTAGTCAACAAGTAGGAGTATGTTCATTTGATATAATTAATTAATAGAAAAACATTTTTATTTTACCTATTTTTTAAAATTTTATGTTCTATTTCAATTAAAATATTTTATATAAATATTAAATGGACCAATTTAAAAACATTTAATTGTAACCAATATTGGTAATAAAAAATTGTAATCTTACAAATATTGCAAATACATAGTGTCTAAAATGTTTATATTTGATTTTAGGCTGAATGAATTTGAATAAAATTAGTAGATAGATTACATTTACTTCTTATTATGACTACCATTAATCTTATTATATTGTTATGTCTTAATTTTTTTTATCTTTATGTGTGGTTGAATGTTTTTGGAAAACCCCTCTTAAAGCCTACTTAATCATGTAATCAGCAATCGTCAAAATTTCTTAATAATCTTTTAGAGCATGTTAAAATTGTATTCAAGTAAGTGAATTAGTTTGTTTGTTTGTTACCTTTAAGCACCTCAGTGGCTCGACAATTATAATTTATTATTCAATAAAAAATTTATCACATATTTGGAATGAAAAATAACATAATATAGAGCTTACTTTTTATAATGGTTAAATAAAAGAAGTCTAATAAAATCATAAGAGTTATATTTTGCGATATTAGAACCAATGGTTAACAATGTACATATTACATGTTATAGTTGTATTACATTATGTTTTTATGAATTAAATTCTCTTCACTTAATTATTATGTTGTAATATTTTACCTATAGACTCAATCCAGCCCAGATAGCTGAGAGATGTGGATTGAAATCCTAAGGATTCCAATATCTGTAGGTAAATTTTTCTAACTTAATAATTTAGGGTTCATTAAAAGCCTGATTATTTAATTACTTTTTAAATATTATTTCTGACTGCCCTACAAATTAAGTGTAACAAATTCACATTATTCTTTTAATAATACAGCATTTGTAAATTTTTATTTCAGGTGTTGCAACTAGGATTAGAAGGTCTGGTTTTAAAGGACCTGGAGTCCACATATGTGCCTGGTAAACGTCATTGGTTGAAAGTAAAAAAAGATTATTTGTTTGATGGAGCTATGGCAGACACGGCTGACCTTGTTGTTCTCGGAGCTTGGTTTGGTAAGCAAATTCATTATTATTGTTATTTTATTGTTTATAAACTGACATAGATCTGTATATTGATAATATATATTAATGAAAAGTACCCATATGGATAGTTTCTCTTTATATATAATAAAATTTCATTATAATGCATTTTTCTGTTTACCAATCTTTACACATTGTCATATTTATAATATTACTTACTAGCTTTTATCCACGATATGTCGATTGACAGAAGAAGAATTGAAAATGGAGTTTATATTAATTATAACATCAAAATATTATTTGTTCTCAAAGGTGTTCTCAAAATACGAAATTGGAACATCAATCAATATAAGAAATATTGACGCTATAATTTCCAATTCTAAACAATTCATGAGTGTCTGCAAAATTTATTCAATTTGTCGATGTCGTTTGGCATTTTCATCAGATACCAAAGGTTAGATGAACCCGGTGGAAAAATAGCGTCGAATTTGTTATTGTGAGTAAGCTATTCAGTAGTAAAACATTCGGGGTGATAGGTTTTATCAATGAAATTGAATTGTATATATACACGATTAATGGGAATTTTATACACTTCTGAATAAAGTCAAAACAATTGTCGTAAACGAAAAACACAATAGGTTCAAATAATAATTCCCGTTATGCGTGTATATAGACATCGTAAAAAAATTAACATACGTTTTAAAAATGGAATTGTTAATGTAAAAATAAATATCAAAATCATTTTTTCACATACATGTTCATTACATACATGCCTATTAGCTCATTTCAATATTGTAATTTTATAAATAGTTACGAGTAAAGTTTCTTTTTTATTTGTAACAATAATATAAATATTTAGGTAATCACAATCTTTAACAAGTATCTCCGCGATACAATTATTTCTAATATTAAAAATCGATCAAGTTTTTTTATTATCTCATTTGGTTTTGTATTTGTTAATGGCTTCTTAGGCTTTTGTTAAAATAAAAAAATATTATATTTTCAGGTTCTGGTAAAAAAGGCGGTATGATGTCAGTATTTCTGATGGGATGCCTCAACGAACTACGCGATCAATGGGTAACTGTGACGAAAGTGCATACTGGTCACGATGATATCACTTTAGAGAGACTTCAAGGGGAATTAGAGTCCCTCATGTTGAAAATATCCCAAGATTATACAAAACTACCTTCGTGGCTGGATTGTAATAAAGGAATGATTCCAGACTTTGTGGCGAAAGATCCAAAAAAACAGCCTGTGTGGGAAATCACTGGTAAGATTGAAACTTTTTTACAATGTAGAATTATGCTAAGTGACAATTAATTCATGTAATAATAACAATATAAAATATATATTACCAATACTCAGAATTATTTTATCATATAAAGTTATTACCTTTTCCCTCCATATAAAATTATTTATTCCTGTATTATAGGCGTGACATTGCAATGGCATAAAAAGAAAAGCAAAGAGCATGTATTCACACTGCGAATTTTCAGCTACGCGGTTTATCTGCAAAATTCCGTGACATAGGGATATATTTACAGGGATATGGTTCTTTATAAAACTATGGTCACTGTGGAATAAAATAAATAGCGGAAAAATAGTCGATGTTGATGAGAATTTACGTTTAAATAATGATAAAAAATTAGCACTGTCAAATAGTTAAATTAAAATATTTATTTTGATTACAGGCACAGAATTCACTAAAGCGAACATACATACAGCAGATGGCATTTCAATTAGATTTCCAAGAGTGACTAGGATACGTACGGATAAAAATTGGAAAACAGCTACAAACTTGGAAGAACTGAAGAAATTGTATAAAACATCAAAAGAAAAAACAGATGTAAGCCTCTTGGATAAACTGGCTGCCACTGCGTCACAGAGTTCTTCGCCAGTTAAAAATAAATTGAAAGGCAGTCCACAAGTTAATAAAATAGACAATTTTCTCAAAAGACCATTAAATACAATATCACCAGTGAAAAAGAAAATAAACGAAGATGATTCTGATACTACCATTATTATGTCAGAAAAAAGTGAATCTAGTTTCGAGGATACTGAATGTGCAACATCAAGTACTACAAATAATATACATAAAAAGAAAATGAAACAAAGTAATATGGATAGCTTACTAAATAGAGAGCGAGACTCGATACCAACGCCGAAAAAGAAAAAAAGAAAATTGAATTCACCTGAATCATCAGAGAAGAGTGAAAATAATGCAGGCTTTGATGAAGTTGATAGTAAAAAAGAGAAAAAAATACAACTGTTACCTAAGGATCCTTTGCCGGATGTATTTAAAGATAAAAGATTAGGTTTTTATCCGGATTTCATTAGTTTTCAAGAGGAGGAAAGAAAGCATTTCGAGAGACATTGGATAGCATATGGCGGTATTGTGGACAAGTCAATACGCAGTATGAATGCTGATTTTGTCGTTCATAAAAATGACGAGATAAGTTTTAGAAAGATGCAGAAATTAAAAAGAAGTTTACCAGATCATGTTAGGCATGTCAATAAAAATTGGCTGATAAAATGTATTAATTACGTGAAATTATGTGACGTTGTTAACGATCCAGTTTTTGTTATACCGTGAATGGTTAAATTTTTATACTTATAAAAAGTATTATTGTATGTATTGATATTATTGTTTTATATTTAAAGCTATGCGATTTCGAATAAATATTACTTATGTATGTCAATAAAGTATAAAACAGATTTTTCTTGTTTATGTTACTGAATTGATTTCAGTTGTTGACATGTTTACGTCCGTCATTTTTTTTTAAGTCGCTATATGTGTGTATTGTTTACTTAAAATGAATCTGTGTTAATTCTCAAATTTAAATAATATGATCTAAACATTAGTTAAGTATTATATTTTTGTGTTATCTTACCTCTAACTGATATTATAAATGTGAAAATTTGTTGTTTAAATATTTGTTATTTAATTACACTTAAATGGCTAAACCGATTTAAATGGAATTTGACACAGAACTTTTGTTTAAACTTTTCAATGTGTTAATTCTAATTCCTATGAACGTAGCTCAGAGTGTCAGCTAGTTTTTAGTTGAAGCTGAACCGTCAAGACTAAATCTATTGATATAACGCATCAATTTTTTAAATCGTATATATTACCTATGAGGTAATGTAAATCATTAATATAAGTTCCTAGGAATTGTTACTAATCTCAAAATTGTGTGATAAAAGTGATTTGTAAATGAGATAAAAAAGAAATATTTTATAGTAAATATGAAGTAACATATTGCAAGAACAATATTGAATTGTTAAATTCATTAAAAATAATGTGCTTACAATATTGCCTACGTTTTTTATTTCACTTTGAATTGTAAACAAGGTAATGGTCTACCATTACTCATGGAAATATAGTAACTACTCATCGTTCTAATGCATAGATACGACAATGGATCCTTTATGTACTGTCGTTTCTCATTCTTAAAGGCAGGATTTGAAACCTGAAACGGTCATTGCATGCATCCAGGCAAGCATAATAAAAATAAAGTATAAAAATATTTAGAAAAGATCTCTACTCGGAGAGAACAAGCCCATCGTCGTCTTTTGGATTAGTATGTTGATTTTTCAATAATTCGCTCGAACTCGAGATCTTTATGAATTCGGGTAATAAATAGGTAATAGGCTAAATTATAATTTACAATTAGATCTTATACAAATAATGTGTAAAAATAAATATTCGACAAATAATGTAGAAAATAAATGGTTTCAATTTTATAAAAAAAAAAAAACCTAAATAAATCAGCATCACAAACAAAAAAGCTTTCATACCTATTAATATGTCCAGAAGCTATAATGCTAACGCAATTTTTGGTTCAGATGTTAAGAGTGGCTAAATAACCGTTTTATTTTCAACGGATAATGGGTATGTTAATTTTGAATAATAAAAGCGTCCATAAAAATAAATTTTTACGTGGTAAGTAGTTAATAGGATCAGATTTAATGTAGGTACCTTAATAGCCCGGCATCGATTAATTTTTTAATAACTAATTTTATATAACTGTCGAATACCTACGTAGGTGTCACCGTTTCCCACTTGTGGGCAGTGTTTATACCTACCATACTAACAATTACTACACTGGGCCTAGTATTTAGGTAATTGTCTAATCACAAAAAATAAACTTGTTATAGACGTACACATTCGTCTATAACAAGTTTATTTTTAATTTAAGATCCGTTTATAATTAAAGATGCAAGACTATATGTATGTCCTCATCATCACATCAGCCGTTAACTGTCCACTGTTGAGCATAGGCCTCATCCTATTGGGAAGTTTTGCCAGTAGGTACCATGCTTAACAAGTGGATTGCTGCAGTTAGGCTTGAGGGACGTTGCAATATAGCCCTCGACCATTAAGTTCTCGGAATCGAGTTTTACGACACCCACGGTAGTGAAGTAGGAGTGACCCATTCTATACCGGGACTCTGGTTTACTGGGGGGAAGGTCTTGTTAGTAATGCGGACAATCTGTCCCATTGCTAGCAATATACCTGATAAGGTCGACTTCCACGTGGTTCCCCCTGAAAAACCATCATGCTGAATTCTAGGTGTATTTATCACGACGGGCTGACCTGCCTTTTCATTCTCACCTATCATCCTTCACTGGTACCATCAATTAAAAAAAAGGTGGAGTTACCATTTTATTATCATCAATTTAAAAAAAAAAAAACTAGTTTACTGGTTCTGACCTACCTGACCGTCTTAATTTTTTTTTATGTTAAGACTAATAATACTTTTGATTAAAATTGTTTTGTATTTTAGTCTCTTAGATATATTGTACGACATACAAGACTAGTGAGTGAGGATACATTTTTTTCTTGTCACAACACTGAAATGGATTGTTAGTAATGGAGGCTGAGAATCCCATTGCTAGCAATATACCCAACCAGGTCGACCTCCTCGCGGTTTCCCCTGGAAACTATCATGGTTAATTCCTTAATGAATTCATCATGATGGGCTAACTGGCCTGTTTTCATTCTCATCTATCACCCTTCACTGGTGCTCCGCCAGCGTATCCCATTAGCGCAGGCGGGGTTACCATACCTTTTTCACCCAACAAAAAAAAAAAAACATTGAAATGAACAGTAATGCATGTCTTAGGTGTCTGCTTTCAAACAGTTTACGTAATCACCCAATAAAAAAATATCTGTTCTATCAATCAGTTCTGTGCCTACCTAATGATAACAACGAATATCCTTTTTTTTAGATTTATTTAATGAAATAAAATACCTTATGAAAGTATAATGTTATTCCTGTTAGTGTTATCGGTATATGCTGGTTGGGTATTAGTGAAAATTGATAGGTGAGGATAAAGACAGGTCAGTTGGCCTATCGAATTCGCCAGGAAATAACTACAATGGTGTCCAGGGAGACCACGGGGAAAGTAAGCTGATAAATTATGTTATAATTGCTAGTAATGAAGTCCAAGTGTTAATTAGTAATAATACCTATTTTTTTTTACAACACGGGGCAAACGAGCATGCGGCTCACCTGATGGTAAGTAACTACCGCCGCCCATGATCATCCACAACACCAGCGGCATTGCAGGTGTGCTGCCGGCCTTTTAATCTATTGCCACTATACTTGGGAATTGTCACAGTAAACTGGTGTCTTTTCGCATCAGCTGTAGAATTTAAATAGACACTGCATTGCAGGTAGCATCTGCCTTGCTATCAAATCTTACGCTATCATTATCTGAATTTATTTCAGAATTTGGTGTCGCCGGGTAAAATAAGTACGAATTTGGATTACTTATATATTTCTATCACGTTCTCCACGTATACACCTTATGAATAGAATTTCTTGGACTGTGATTTATGTGAAATTCTTTTATTGGTCTTTGAAAAGTTAATTTGAATAAATAATATATTACTGTTATCGGGGTGTTACATTGAAAGGAAAGTAAAGTCCACTCATACCGAATAAATCGTCTAAGCGCCTGTCTGTTATGATCGTAGACTTCATTACGTACTATCATACGACTGATTTTCTGAAAAATCCTTCGAAACTTATAACAATTTATGGAAAAGTACTTAAAAGTGTTTCTATGCATAGTTTCAATATGAATTGATTTTAAAGAGAAAAGGAAAAGTACCAAGGAAATATGTATATCTATCCCACTTATGTTTCTACTGCCAAGCAGAATTGTTTTCATATCTGTCTTTCTATTTAAAGTACACCCGTAGTAATGAAATTAAAGGCATAATACCATAGTCTTGGGGAACAAGGGATTGTTAGTAAAGGAGGTCTAAGCCCCATTCCTAGCGATATAACTTGTCAGAACGACCTCCATGCGGTTGGAAACCATCGTGGCCAATTCTTGTCGAATTTGTTATAATGGGCCAACTGACCTGACTTCTTTTTCATCTATCGTCCCTCACTGGTGTACACAGCGCAGGTGGGGTTACTTTACAATTTTATCCATTAAAAAGCCATAGTCTTCAGCAATGGCAATGTATGAGGTTTACAACATGCGTCAACTGAGTAACACCTACACTGGTAACCTGTGATATCTGGGGGGAAAGGGTTTGTTAGTAATGGAGACTGAGAATCCCATTGCTAGCAATATACCCAACCAGATCGACCTCCTCGCGGTTCTCCCTGGAAACTATCATGGTTAATTCCTGATGAAGTCATTATGATGGGCTAACTGGCCTGTTTTCATTCTCATCTATCACCCTTCACTGGTGCTTTGCCAGTGTATCCCGTTAGCGCAGGCGGGGTTACATACCATTTTCACCCATAAAAAAAAAAACCTTTTATATCTATGGTGCTGTTCGGTATCGTTAAAGTTTAGAGATGACGGCTACCACTTGCTATTAGATGTACGGTCAGCTTGTTTGTCATTATCAGTTACATAAAATAGTTTTTTTTTTAAGTGTAAACACCGCTATTAATAAAATCATTAATGTTTAAGATTTATTGTATATTTTGTTATATAATTTGTAATTTACAATTATACATTAATTAAAATAATGGCGAAAGGAAACAATATCATAAGACGAGGTATTAATAAATAATTGAATACAAAACAATGTAAACGAAAAAACCAGCAGTGCATAAAATTTAACGAGCAGATTTAACATCAATTTGGTACAAGTACGTATTACGCACAGACGCACATCACACCGTCACGAAAGCTTTAAAATTCTTATTTTACAAATTCTTATTTCTACTGAATGTAAAAGTTTATAAAGAGTTTGTGAAAAAGCAGGCCTGTCGAGGTGTTTTTTTTTTCAATTTCTTACTCTTAGGTGAGATTATACGAGACCGGATTCCTCTTACATGAAAATTATCTGTGAGATTTTAAATAATTATATTTATTTGATATCTTCATGTGTATTGATTTATTAGATTATTAACGATAGAGGTTTTTAAGTTTTAGAAATTTGGCACACGACTCTCTTTGGTTATGTCACAAAAGATGTAACAGGGAACTTGTATTTGAATATCCACTCAGTTTTTTTATTTTTTAAGATAAAGTTCTTGAAATGAATTTGAATGAAAATAACATTATATAAGATTTTTATATGGAGGTAACAATTCGAAATAGGTAAATAACGCAAATGTGTTCTGAGTTTGATTTGGTACTTGGATTGATGTTACTTAAAATTTTACACAAATATGTACTAGTCTTTCAAAATATAAAAGCCGAAACATCAATCATTGTACGAGTGTATAGGAAGCGATCTCTCTCGATAACAGAGAACAATACAGCTGCTCTTAAATTCTGATTGGAGGCTGATTCTAAAATATGTGCCTACTAGGAATTTCCATTTATATCCTGACAATTGAATGAAGATTGTATGGGTACTGTAAAGGGGAAAATCGAAATCATTATTAGCAAAACTAAATATTTATTGTACTCGTAATGAAACATGGTTCGATAAATATGACAAAAATTTTTAAGCTTTCTATAGTGAATAACAACTCGTTACAGAAAATAAAATGTGAGGTTTTAATTTTTTTGGCGTTTTTCAACCTATGTCATCATCAACATATCAGTCTTTAACTGTTCATTAATAAGAATAGAAGAATAGTAGAGGGATAGGCAGTAACGTCCTTCTTAAAACATCACCATAAGCCTAACTGCGATTTCCAACCCGCCTGCCAAACGTGGCAATTACTGGTAAAACCAGGTCAGTCGATGGTTGATAAGGATACGACTGAATATAAGTTTCTCCCATATGGGAGGTTTTGCCTTTGCGATTGGGGGGTTTTGCCAATATATGTTATGCTTGGTAGGCAGGATGTTTAACGAAGTATGACTTTGATGACGTTT